AACTGGTAGCCTAACGACCCTGTGTCTATAGGGTCTATAGGTCATCTGGAGGGTCTCTGAGAAGTTGGCAAGGCTCAAACACCTCTGAAGGAAGCCGTAAGGCTCTGCTTGACTCCCTATTCCAGCTGCTTGCTTTCCCCACATCCTCTTTTCTAGTTCCCCCAGGATGTGGCAGGCGCCAGGAAGGAAGAGAACAGGATGTGGCTGGGGGATGTCTCACCTCTCACCACCAGATCCAGAGTCTTGCTGGCGGACCATTGGAACGGAATACTGGTGGTGCGACACTGGCAGCTGTAGTGACCCCCATTGCCTTTACGCACACGGGAGATGCTGAAATGATCTCGTTCCTTTGAGAGCCAGCTGAGGTCTCTGACCTGTCCCTCCAGGTACAGGAAACAGATAGCACTGGAGTATTCAATGGTGCAGCGGAACGTCACCTGAGTTCCTCCAGCCACGTCATGCCCAGGCAGGACAGAGAAGTCAGGTGTGGGGAGATGGAACTCTGTGGGGAGAGGAGGGGGCATGAGAAGGCTTTGACGTGGTGCCAGGAGCCACCGGGATCTCTGTGATCCCACCACCTGGCTTAGGCAGAGGTGAAGATATTCCCCATCACTCCAAGCCAGGGAAGGGGGGAAAAGCCCTGCCCATCATGTGGACGGGGAAGCCAAGTGGTTACATGCACCCTGATCTGCCCCTGTGGCATTTGACCCCATGCGAAGAGGTAACAGCACATCCCTCACCTTCCACTATGACATTCACGATGTCACTGCGAGCCAGCACAGTGCCTCCATGCAGGTAATGGCAGCTGTAGGCACCTGTGTCCTCTTGGGTGGCATTAGAGATGGCGAACTCGGCCCTGCTGCCACGCGGCTCCAGAGTACGGAAAAGGTGGCCATTCTTGTACAGCACGAAGTTCCCACCATCACACTGGCAACTGCAGCAGATGCTGACGGAGCCTCCCAGCGGGATCACTCCAGGTGGCTTCGGGAAGATGGTGATCATGGAAGCATCTGCACAGCGAGAGAGGTGCTGCCAGACAGGGAGTCCCCAGTGCCCAGCTGCCCTGCGGTGAGCCTGGAGCTGGCTCCAGGCCCCACCTCCTCACAAGGGTGAGTTTTGCTCCGTGAGGCTGGGGAAGAACCCTGGGAATGGGACACACACACACACACACCACGGACGGACACACGGACCAGAGATATGTTCAAAGTCCCCGTCTACCTCCTCGTGATACTCACTTGGTGTAGCCTCGCTCCGTGCCAGTAGGCAAACACCTGCAAGAGAAGCAGCCCTGTAACATCTCTGTGGAGTCTCTGGACACCTCATGTCACCCTCTGGGAGCCCACACAGCCTCTGGCACTCACCGAAGGCTACCAGGTAGGTCACCGGCAGCATCGTGTCCCTCTTGGCTCCCTCTGTCCTCGGCTCAAGCAGGGCTTCTTCAGAGGAAGACCTTGACCGGAGGCACTGAGCAGCTGGGTGGCTTCTTGTGGGTCCTGATACGCCCTCGTTTGCACGAGCCACCTTCTGTCTCACAGCTCGGGTTTCTGCAGACACAATTGCAGGGCTGGGATGGTTGAACTGGAACGAGAATGTCTCAGTCATCTGCCCAGGGCTGGGCACCGGTGGCGACCTGGTCTTGGGATCCTGCAGACATCAGGAGAGAAGCTATCGGGCTTTTTGTTTCTCTTTCTTGAGTCTGGTCACTCGATGGGGAAATGGCTTCCTCTCAGCCCTTGCGAAATAGGGTGATGTTCTGCAACCAGGGCGGGGAGAAGAGGCAGCGCAGGACTCTTTCTGAACCTCGGTGGGAAAGCTCCAATGACAAGTGGCGTCACAAAATAGCTGTTTTAATAAAACAGAATAGAAAGGAGACTATAGGTAGCAAGTAAATCTTACACCCCTTCAGAGGCAGGGCACCCCACTTTCCTGCAGCATTGATGGACCCCGGATAGCTTTTCCCATGGCATGTTCCACAAACCCTGTCTGTGGAGACGTACCCAGCATCTGAGGGGGTGCCAGATTTCCTTGTGATCTATATTCCTTTTTTTTTATTCTGTGTCATTAAACCAGATATTTTATCACTCCATTTGTTGCCAGGCCTTTCTCATCGAGGTCCAGGAAGCCCTCTACACCGCGCCGTGCCCCCTCCTCGTGCCCCCTCCTCGTGCCCACAAGCCCTGCAGGGTGCTCCCCGCCGCAGTGCAGGCCAGATGGTGGAGGGAGAAAGGACGGTGGGTCCAGCCATAGGCTGTGTCCAGACCATGCTCTTCCCCACGGCTGCAGGGCAGGTTTGGTGGCTCCACAAAGTGGAACAGGAGGGAAGTAACGTGACTTCCCTTTTGGCTTCCTCACGGGCTGTTTTGTCCCACCTGGCCTATAGTGTCTTTCGTTGGAGGAGGAACAGCAACCTACGTGTAGATCTGGATCCACCCCACAGGGCTGGCCCCATTCCTCATCCATCCAGGCCTCCTCAGCTCTATGCTGGAGCAACGGCAAGGTCCTTACTCCAAGTAACTGCCCACTTCCACCGCATCTGGAGCCTGGCCTCCAGCCTCCTCATCTAGTCTGGGTTGGCCAGTGGTGTAGACAGAGCTCTCTTTGGCACTAACAAAGGGTTAATTAAATGGAGGAAGTGGCTCGCACCTTTGGGTGATGTGGGAGCGAGGAGAGCAGGGAAAGGATGGGTTGGTGGGACTGGAGCTGTGTCGAACAGGTGGCAGCTTGTCCAGGATCCCACACGGCTGAAGGCTGCAGCGGCCGTGGCTCCCTGCCCCGCTGCGGGCAGGCACGTCCTGCCCTCCTCTGCCTCTGCACAGTCTCTGCCCCAGGTGGCCCCAGCAGGAGCAAAACCGCAGGGCCCAGGGCTGAGCAGGTGGTGTTTATGTGGCTGTAATCCAGGGGGAAAAGGCGAAGTGTCCACTGGGCTCTCAGCTGCCTCATTTGGTCCCCCCTAGACCCCCTCTACCCTTTTCTTTCTTCCCTCTTCAGCCCTTTTATTCTCCCTTGGAGATAGGAGGTAGGAGAAGCTTTGGAGCAGGGTGCCCTGTGACCTTCTCCTTTTCTGGGGCACCCCTTCTGGCCCCGTCTCCTGTCTAACCCCCCCCTTTTGCCTCCTCCAGGCTCGACCAATTATTGGCAATTCCTTGGACAACGTCTCTTCAGGCCGCTTCATCTCAGCAGCCTCCACTGTCCACACTGGGCTGAGGGACACCAACCTGTGCTGGCCTCACCAGTGCCCAGTGGAGAACGCCCCCCCGGCTCACCCTGCCGGCTCTGCCCTGGCTAATGCAGGCCAGGGGCCCGGACAGAGCTGGTGACGTTGCCCATGGGCATGTTGGACTCCTGGGCCCTCCTCTGCGAGAACCTTTTCTCACACCCCCCAGCTGGAGACCTTCAAGGGTCCAAGGCCAGGGCACGAGACCATGGAAAGAGCTTTGCCCTACATCCCTGCTGTTAGGGGTTTCCAGCAGCCTGAGAGATGAGGCTACCACAGCTCCACAGCCCCGGCTCCAACCAGCCGTGGAGCC